AATATCAAGAGAACGGGTTAATGACTTTGAAAAAAATTTAGCACCATGCTTTGTGTAAACAATTTTTATGCATGGAAAATAAGTTTAAGATCTGTAACTATTGTGGTCACAGAAATCGGTCCGTTTGATTCAAAATCGAACTTATGGGTTTTAAAGAAAACAGAAAATTCTATCTATCGAACTAAGGGCATTTTCTAATTGAGCATCAAAAATTACATTAGTGGAAATGAGTTTCATGAAAAAATCTGGTCAGACAACTGCACAAAGTACGATCAAAGTTTCAACTTTAACCTCAATTTTCTCGTAAACTGGTGATCGGAGAAACTTTTGTTAGCACTAATGGACATAGTTTTTGTGTCCCTAAAAACTGGCAGAGTATAAATTGAAAGAAACTGATTTTTACCCGTTTTTGGCCACTTTGCTCACAAGTTTGATGCAAAAAGCTTGCAATTGTGTCAAATGTGTCTTTTTAGCAACAAATGTGTTGATTTATGGTTGAGGTTATTGTTTTTGAATGAAAAATGGGTAATTTTACACAATTATCTTAGGGAAATTAGGTTTCTTTTTAATGTATCGTTGCATTTTCTGGTTGGGCATCAAAATTCAAATCATGTAAATCATTTTGATGAAAAAATCTGGCCAGAAAACTGTACAAAAGGCGATCGAAGATGCAAATTTGGATCCCATTTTCTCGAAAACTATCGATCATAGAAATTTGAAATCGCAGTAATAGATTCAGTTTTAATTTCTTTGCAAACTAACAGAATTTAGATTTGCAGGAAATCAATTTTTACCCGTTTTTGCCCATTTTGTGCACAAGTTTGATGCATAAAGACACAATTGGGTTAATTGTGTCTTTTAGTAACAACCAGAAAAACTTTGCATCTCTGTGTGCTTTTATTCAATGTGGGCAATATTCAGAGCCAAGTCTACATTGTACATGAAATTTAAACTTAATAAGAGTCTAGAAACCACTCAATAAGGATATTCAAACACGGAGTCAGTAAATCCCGTGCTGCTCAATTTTCATATAATCATGTTTTTCCCTGATTCTTACTCTATTATAATAATAGATGCCAAGCTACGATGTCAAGGGATGAAAGCCAAAAAGTAGACACTTATTAGTAATAAGTTGATGGTAACAAATCATTATAAAACAATTTTTCAATCATAAATCAATGCATTTGTTGCTGAAAAGACACAATAAACACATTTGTAACATTTATGCATCAAACTTGTGAACATAATGGGCATAAACGGGTAGAAATTGATTTATTGCAAATTATAACTCTGTCAATATGTAGGGGCATAAACACTGTGTCCGTAGTTGCTAATGAAAAATTTCTCCAATCACCCGTTCACGAGATAATCGAGGTCAAAGCTGAGATTTCGATCGCATTTCGTACAGATGTCTGACCAGATTTTTTTATGAAACTCATTTTCACTAATGTTATTTTTGATGTTTAATCAGAAAATGAACTTTCTTTGAGAAATAAAGTTTTATATTTTCTGAAAAACTCATAAGTTCGATTTTTAATCAAACCAACCTATTTCTGTGACCAAAAGACGTATAGATCTGAAACTTATTTTTTGTGCATAAAAATTGTTTACACAAGTCATGGATTCGTTATTTTTTCCAATTTATCAATCGTACTCTTGATATTGGCCATTAATCTCAAATTTTGAATCTCGATATTTCGAGAACGGCATTTCCTATCATCATCATTCTTTGACAAACAATAAATGATATTATGGACTATGATATGCTGAGAAAAAAATTATTCAAAATTCTAAATAAAAAGTTATAGCACTGATGTACTCATGTTACCAGATTCTAAACTTGGCTTATAAAGTTAAATGGGTACTCCAACCTAAGTCATTATTAAAGGAATTAACTCAGATTTTCCTGGCATTTACTCATATCATATTGTAGCCCATAATAAAATCTAACATTTGGTAAGAGAATGGTGATTGTATGTGATTTCGTTCTTGAAATATCGAGGCTCAAACTTTTTAGACAAATGGCCGATATCAAGAGAAATGTTTATAAATTTGCAAAAATATTCAATCTATGATTTGCGCAAACAATTTTTATGGCAGAAAAATAAGTTGTAGATCTCTAACTATTTCAGTCGCAGGTATCGGTCATTTTGAGTGAAAATCGAACTTATCTGTTTTGCAGAAAACAGAAAATTTAATTTCTCGAGATAAGTGCATTTTTCGATTAAGCATCAAAAATTAGATCAGGCAAATAAATTTTACGAAAAAATCTGGTCAGACAACTGTACAAAAAGCGATCGAAGTTACAACTTTGACCACGATTATCGAGAAAACTATCGATCTTAGAAATTTTGTAATAGTACTAATAGACACAATTTTTATTTCCCTACAAGCCAACATAAGCCAAATTAGCATGGAATCAATTTCTACCCGTTTATGCCCATTATGTTCACAAGTTTGATGCATAAATGTTACAAATGTGTTTATTGTGTCTTTTAGCAACAAATGCATTGATTTATGATTGAAGATATTGTTTTATAATGAAAAATGAATAATTTTACACAATATTAAGGGTCAATGAGGTTTCTTTAATGATGCCAACACTCATTTTTGAAAATCTTGGAAATTATTGAGGATCAACATTAGGGAAGTTTGCGTTTCTAATACCATTTTTCGAGATCTTCAATGCCAAGAATTAAATAACAAGTACAACACCTAATATAGCATTTTAATGAGGAAATGCGATTATTATGGGATTATTGGTTAGTAAAGTAGCTGAAACTGAAGGATTTTCATCAAGTCCAAAAGCTTAAATGGTCAAGACCAAGTAAAAGTAAAACGTAAAAGAGATTGTGATTTTATTTAGTTAACTTACTGAAAATAAACTCATTTTTCACCGATTTGACTTTCCATTTCCAAACAGCTCATCAAAGAAATCTTTAAATCGCACTAATAGATTCATTTTTATGTCCCTACAAACCAGTAAAGTCTGAATTTGAAAGAAATTGATTTTTACCAGCTTTTGCCCATTTGTGTCAATTTGCGTCAATTCGTTTTTAAAGTAGACAATTGTGATGATTGCGTCTTTGCAATAACAACGCGATAAAGCATAAACAGTTGAATTGACTTTTGATTATCAATGCAATCAATTATCGATACAATTTCCACAACTGGACCAGAAAACAATTAAAACTCTGCATTGATTGCTGAGTAAAATAACTGTTCTGTTCTGCAAATAAACATGTTATGCTTCAAAACATCTCTTTGAATTTTGCAAGAAAATCTGTTTACTTTTAACGCGACCATTTAGTCACTAGACCATTGAAAATGTATTTTTAATCATTATTAATCAATAAAATATCATCTGATTATTTTCCTACCATACTTGGTAACAAGTACTGGAGTGATTTTACAGTCAATATTGCCGAAATCCAAATGTAACTGTAAATCTTTTCCATCGATATAACTAAATATTGAAATTCTCTATGCCACTGTAGCTAATAAAAGAATGATTATTACACATGAAAAGTGGTTTCAAATCAAACACTTTTTCATGACAAAAGATTGAATTTACACTAAAAAAGTTTATCTGATCATCTGTTTTCACTTGAGCTCATCAACTTGAGCCAACCGTGGCATTCTACAAACTTTTGAAAAGACCTAACATGACTTTTCAATGTCCTCTTTAGTTAATTTTCAATTTGAAGAGGATCGACTTATTATGACACACATCCTTTGTGTGACATTAGCATTGTTTGAATCAGCACCTACAATGTAAATCCAATAATTACCTTCATTTTATGGTTAACAATTATTTTTGAGTTGGCATTATTTATACATGGTGCTTCTTTCTACTGAACTGTCTTTCAATATCAGAATTCATCTTGAAATTTCTAACGATCAAGATACCGAATAGAATAATATAAACTATCAAAATTATTGAGTTATTTGTTTTTCCTGATAAATTGACTGTAAAAATATTTTATTTGTTATACCCTTTCTTAGGAGGAAAGAAATCTGAAATATCGAAATTCAATTTGAATCCAATTTTAATGGCAATGGAAAATACATTTTCAATGGTCTAGTAATCAAATGATTAAATTTAAAATAAACAACTTTGAAAATTGCTCTCGAAAATCAAATACAGATTTCAAATGAAGAGTTGTTTCACTTCACAAGTGATTCAAAAATTTTTCTTTGTGTTGGTGAATTTGAAAATTGTACGAAAAATGGCGAAAACAAATTTAACTGTTGGTGCTTTTTCGGTAAGCAATGCAATTATTTAGCTGTTGTTCCCGACTAATAACTTATTTTTTGACATTGAAGATACCATTCGCTCAAGGTTTCGTTCAAGAAGATGATCAAGCTATTCCTAAATTGAAGTCTCTTAAGCGATTTACAGCTATGCTCTCTGATTATGGCCCTTTCAAGTAAGAAACTATTGCGATTCTGTTTCCAGTATTAACTATTCAGATGGATTGATAAATTGTCTTCTTCCTTCTGCCGTTAGTCTGAAATTCATTTTACCCGAGGAAGGACAATTGGGAGTGCTAACAGAAACTGGTTATCATGATGGAGTTTTGGGTCTAATGCAAGAAGGGGTAAGTCATGTCAATATTTCAATTGATAGTTTTAATCTTTGTTCGTAATTATTAGAAAGTGGATGTGTGTTTATTGCCACTGTCGTTGGATACCCAAAAGGCTCCTGGTTATTTCACTTCTGTCATATCAGAGGAAAACTTCTATATAGTTAGCATTCGTAATCTGAATAAAGACCATTCAGCTACTATTTCAAGTCTGACATCGATAACCGCGATCCCTTTATTATTGGCTGTTCTGGCCACATTAATATTGGAATTGATTGCAGTTAAACGCTTCAAAATTGAAGCTTTATTGACAGCCATCTTTAGATCCTTTGGCATCTCATTTTACCAGCATTTATCTCACCGTGCATTATGGTTTCGCTTGATTCAAATGCTTATCTTAATGTTTCCAGTATTCATCTTCAACGCTGCATTCAGTACCAAAACTATTGTAGGAAAGGCGGATTTGAAGATTGATACATTGAGAGATATTATCAATCAGGGCAAAACACCGTTTTTCATTGAAGGTATCTCAATGTATGACTTTTTTAAAGCCAAAGTCACCAGAGATTATGCTGATAACTATAGACGGGCTGTTGCTGAAGGGTTCAAAGAACCCTTCCCGTTAGGACCTATTCCCTCATTTGAAAGAAACGAATTAATGGTTACTTTCGTTTCTGGTGTTGGAAGGAAACTGAGCCCATTAGCAGCTTCTTCATCTGATTTACTCAAACCCAACCAAGAACAATATTACTCAGCAAAACCTTTTCATAGATCATTACAAGCTATGCTTTTTAGCTATAATACTTCAGAATCCACCAGAAAAAGGTTTGATACTCTGTGAGTGAATAAACTTATTGTTATGGGATCGAGCTGAATCAAATTCCAAACACTTAATTTTGCTCTTTTAATTTTCAGATCTCGTCGGATGATCCAAAGTGGGATTGCTAGAAAAATAGAAGAAGATATCTACGTTGATTTTATACTCTCCTTTTATCCTGCAACCTTATATGACTTTCACAAGTCTGAAGCTCCTTGGAAAGGTGATGATCTCAATTGGCAATCATTAAATTACAGGGGATTCTACCAAATATTTCATTTACTCATCTCAATGTTGATTCTGTCAACATTTGGTCTACTTATCGAGTTAATCATGGCTTTTCTCGCTCGATCCAAATGAATCAAACAAAAATGTATTATAAATCTACATCTAATGTATTATTTATATCATTATGGATTTGAGTCTTTAATTGTAGATTGAAACTATCGGACACAGTGAAAAGAAATTCACAATCAGCCATGATTGGGGGCTATCTATTTAGTATAATTATATTAGTGTGAAGGGTTACTAGAAATAATGTATGGACAATAAAAATGGGAATAGTTTCATTACCAGCATCTTTATCAATAAAATTGTTATTTTGTTGATTGGAAACAACAAAGTATCACTTTATTACTATGTATACTGCTATAATTTAAACAGAATGGTTGCCTTTAGGATATAGTTTCTCGAAAAGCGAAAAATTGGTATACTCAGTAATATACACACAAACACGAAGAAAACCCATATCTTGGACAGTTTCAGATTTGCAACCTTCTCTCTGCAATTGATGATCAGGCCTTAGTAATCGTGACTGATCGCTTTAGATAAAATTGACTGGCATTGAGAATAAAAGATAGTGACTTGGAGTGAATTAGAATAATTCGATTTATTCAATACAGTATCATAGATTTTACATTTTCAGGATTATTCATATTCTTATTAAAGACTTCATTGACGACTTTCTGAAAATTTTTCAACCATTATTCACATTCAATTCATTTTCCACCCATTGGTGGTGCTCCGGGCGGTGGTGCTTGTCGTGCAGAACGGGATCCAGTACCTGGTAACGTTGCTGAAACAGGCCCAAGAATGGCAATAAGAGCCATTAGAAAGACAGAAGAAACATACTTAGTCAATTGCATTGTTATTTTGTTGATTGGATTTAACTTGACTTGGTTTAACAGAAAATTGAAATATCACTAATCACTATTACTTTGTATACTTGAAAATTTAACTGATATCATTTGAAGAGAAATGGTCGCCTTTTATACTTATGTGTCTTGTTTATGCTTTATTTAGTTTTATTTTTTCATTTGTCATGAATAATGTATAATTTCTATGATGAATTCATGACTCATTTAGTAATTAATAAAAGCTGTGTTTATTTATAAAAACAATTTTATAAAGTCATTATCTCTGAATGTCAAATTCAACTTAATTGATGCAGCTAGACTGCTCGTGTACACTCAGGAATAATTTCGCGTTATTTATATATAAGCAAACAATGATTCTATGACAATTTACTATCATCTGACAATCATTAAACTTAAGAAGAGCTATTCAGATCCAGCCACTGTGATGTTAAAAGAGGTTTTTTGATGGGGTTAATGGACCGGAAGTAGATTCTATTTTTGATATGAGTCACATAAGCCATTGCACTTGTACTACACGATAAGTCTAGACATATTAAGGGTTTTATTTGCAGTTTAGATATATTGACTTTGCAAGATTATTATTCATCAGAATAAAAAAACATTTCATGCAAATACTACGAATAAGCATTATTTTACCAAATGAATAATCAGTTATGCAAAATTAAAACAAATATAAAAATAAAACTAAATAAAGCATAAACAAGACACATAAGTATAAAAGGCGACCATTTCTCTTCAAATGATATCAGTTAAATTTTCAAGTATACAAAGTAATAGTGATTAGTGATATTTCAATTTTCTGTTAAACCAAGTCAAGTTAAATCCAATCAACAAAATAACAATGCAATTGACTAAGTATGTTTCTTCTGTCTTTCTAATGGCTCTTATTGCCATTCTTGGGCCTGTTTCAGCAACGTTACCAGGTACTGGATCCCGTTCTGCACGACAAGCACCACCGCCCGGAGCACCACCAATGGGTGGAAAATGAATTGAATGTGAATAATGGTTGAAAAATTTTCAGAAAGTCGTCAATGAAGTCTTTAATAAGAATATGAATAATCCTGAAAATGTAAAATCTATGATACTGTATTGAATAAATCGAATTATTCTAATTCACTCCAAGTCACTATCTTTTATTCTCAATGCCAGTCAATTTTATCTAAAGCGATCAGTCACGATTACTAAGGCCTGATCTTCAATAAATAATCAAACTGTCGGCTAATCTTTCATTATCAAAAGAACATCTTTGTAACATGTTAGAGAGGTGATATCTGCAATTGGATTTGCAAATCTCTCTATTGGTTTATGTAACTGTGTGATTATCAAAAAAATAAGATGTAATCATCTTGATACGCAATCTTATTGATGTTTTGTGCATTTTGTATTAAAAATTTGAAATTTATCAAGATTTGCATTTCAATGCCAAATTAATATAAGTAAGCATATTCAGATGTGAGTAATTACAGTCCAGCAGCAACTCTATACTCTGTATAAAATTTTTGATTGTTGCGGAACTATTTCTTTCATTTTCGATGTAAAATTGGCAAACACGTTTGTAAAGGAAAGAACTTTTTTTGACATTTTTAGTAAAAATTTCTGGTCAATACTGACAATAATCGAAAGCATATTTCGCAATCTAATAAGCTCTTTGAAAAATTTAAACATCTGAAGTTCAAAAGTTAAACTGATTTTTCATTTGTCTCTTTACTTTTGGGACATCCTTTACTTTAAAAATAAATAATCCAAAGTTCATTATTTAAAAATATTGACAATGACTTTAAAAGCAAACATATATGAATGTAATACAGGTTAATTTTAAGCTCATTTTATAATTTTGATAAGTTGGTCTGAAGATTCAACAGGATAGAATAAACCATGGAAATCACTGGTAATTGCAGATGGAGTTTTAAAGTGAGCTCTTGCCAATTCTTTAAATGATTTTCCATCCAGAACCAGAAGGAATCCTTCATTTTCAATTTTCTCATACAAAACGGCAGATAAAATGACACCTTAAAAGATAAAAAGATATTGTAATATTTAAGGTTGTTATCAAAATTATTTTGATTAAGAAATAACTACCATCGTCTTCATCGATTGCTCCTGGTTTTGGTATAAAAACTGGTTCAGATGGTGTACATCCTGCATCAGACCAAATCACAGTTTCTTTAGTCTTTACATTGCATTTCAACTAAATTGATATTAAAAATATTAAAAGTTGAATAGTTAACATAGTATTTGATAAAAGTAACAGTAAAACTTGATCTGGCCAGAAATAAAATAATTAGACTAACCAATTGAGTTAGAAGATCTTTCCCCCTAGCAATCGAGTAGAAATATTGATAATTTTTACCATTATAATGATGATAGTTGATTTGAGGCATTTCAGCCATACTTGAACCTGTAAATTCATTAGAATATGTAAAATGAATAAGCATTAGCAAACATTTAAATATTTAAAGAAGCGCTTACAGCAACTTCGTTGGGCAGACACAAAGTCTGGTGAATGAATTAATTGAATAACTGTTCAGCTAAAATTAAACTCTATAATGACGTTAATGATTGTTCCAAGTTAACAGTCAATATAAGTTCTGCTAGTTAATGACAAAAAAGAGAAGCCCAAAAACTCACCAGTTGAAGTTAAAGGTTCGTAAAACACCTCAATCTCATTGCCATTACGTTTAGCTTTTGCTGATGATCCTTTGAGTCTGATGAGGTTTGTCGAAGACTGTAAAAGAAATTTATTAATGATTTGAGTATTTGAATATTCAAAGAAATAATTCATGATACCTCATTTGATGAATCAACATTCAAGGGTAAAACATAACGACGAGCCTGAGATTGGAGTGACTGAAATTCTTTAACAGATTCTGCTTTACTTTCAGCGGCTTGACTACTAATTTGAGATAATTTATCGGTAAATAATACATTAACTATGGATCCATCTTGATAACAGCAAATATCACAAATAATATGACCATCCTCCTGGTAAGCGTTGATGGTGTGAAAGAAAGCAAAGGGTTCACTAACATAATTATTTGCAATTATTTCACCGTTAGATTTTTTTATCACATTGAAACGAGTCTAGATAAGGAAAATTCAAGATCATAAGTAAATTACAAGGAAATGACTAGATAATGATTTCACCTTAAACTCTGGTCGCCATTTTAGGGATGCACTAAAAGATCCGCCAGTAAAATGATTGAGAAGTATGGATGGAATTGATGAGACTAGAGGCTGCTCAATGAATATGATAAAATCCTCCGTAACCAGAAAACTATGATAATATGATGGGTACATTGGATGACGAACTGGAATGCTAGTTAAAATTGAAGTTGATGTAAACCCTTTCGACGCATTAGGATCAATCTTAATCACATTGTAGCTTCCTTTTCCACTAAAATTACTTCCTAAATTGTAGATCACACCATTGGGGTCAGTGTGAGGATGAGCCGTTTGAGTGTTGACAGCAACATATTGGGCCATATTAGTACTGCCTGTTGAATTAATTGTTTTAGGATCAATTTTATGAAGAAAAGTTGATTCAGTAGAAGCATATAATTCATCACCAACTGGATAAATACTGACAGAGTCATTGTCTGTAAATTGTTTAAATGAAAAGTAACTCATGTACCTTCCAAGTAAACTTTTACATGGGTCAGGATAAGCACGAGTTCCAAAATCAGAGACAACAATTCGATTGGCCTTCATATTTCTTACATAAGCCTCTGAGCGTAAAAATTTATTACGATAGGTAACATAACCATTATCAATAGTGAATTGATGGATAAGCGCAAGACCATCAAATAAATGACGATACTCATCAGGACCAATTTTACGAAGACCTGGACCATTACGTAGTAAATATCCTTTGACCCACGTTGGGATTTGTCCTGAAAATATGAAACAGAACAAGATTATGGCCTATTATATCCCAATTAGCTTGTAAATTTACGGATGACACGAAGGCAAATATTGAAAATGAAAACAATTATCATCAAAACCAAATAGTGTTTAATTAATGAACTTAAAACGTTTTAATGGCTATACTTTTGTTTTCTTAGTGTTTATCAGCATTCCGTTTTCTTCTAGATGAAAAAGAAGAAGACGAACAAAGATCAAAGTACATTCCAAAAATAAGAACCTTTTCCTTGCTTTAGGAGGTCAGAGGAAAGTATAAAGTTGGGAATGACAATATTTATTACAATACAAAAACACGTTACTTTTCGCATAGAAGTTTGTTCAACACCTGATAACTATTCCAATAATCTTCAAATATTCTCATTAGCATTCTAAATTACTCAGTAGTGACACACGATGAACCCGGATGTACAGGGGTAATATGTTTGCGACTTCGTGTGGATTTCAACAAATGTCAATGAATCGAGAACAAAGAGAGCAATCAAAACAGCCTGAATTGCATCAATAAAAATAGTCTAAAAATGTTAGATTGATTATTCTCACTTTTTAAAAAAAAGTCGAAAATAAACTTTTCAAAATTTGGTTTTTAGTACTTATGAATCGCTTGTGTTTGATACAGAATCGAAACATCTGCAAACAAATCAATCTACGCTTAGTAGAAACAGGATATGAAATATAAAAATTGATAATTAATAAAAAATTTCGGGCGGCTAAAATTCATTAACTAAAACCTGTACAGCTATTAGCTTTTGATAAATATCAGGTTGCAAATTTACGGATGACACGAATGAAAAATATTGATAGAGATTAGGGTAAAAAGAGCGTAAAAGTAGAGTTTACGGGCATGAAAATGTTTTCGAATTTTTGTACTGCAAGACGAACTGAATTATTCGAATTCAAGGTAAACAACTAGTTCTGATTATTATACCAACAAGATATTGAAGTCATTTTTAAGTGGAAAAAGCGAGATTATCCTCGAATGTCGATTTATATTTGACCAAGATTCAGAGCCTTTATGCTAATGATATTATAGCAAAAACCGATTTGTACTTAACTTATGAAAAGTAATGAAATAACTTACCAACGACTTTAGCAGTAACAGGTTCCGAGCATTCTTGTAGACATGATCGTAGGCTAGGCGGTAAAGCTTTCACTTGATGATCAAAAGGTGTTGAAACTGACGATAATGATGAAGATTGCATTGCACTAAACTGTAACTTCGGAGACATGGTATGATTCTGCCATAGTAAACTTGACAAACGAAGTATTAATAACATTTCGGTGAGACTGTTTGGTGTCATAAAATCATCTTGAGTGAGTAAAGGAAAGGACTTGGTGAGAGAAACTATTAAGATGTCCAGTAATGACAATGTGATGGACCATTAAGAGGAAAAATCAATTAAGATTCAGCTATCACAAGATGAAATGACAGAGAGAATAAACCTCTCGATATCGTAATGATATCAAAATGACAAGGAAGCTTAATTATCGAGGTTCAATCATATCAGATGCTCAGATTTAACTAAAGGGTGGTACAATCAATTGGTCACAAAAGCAAAACCTAAATGAGTTCTATGTGCAGACACCTTGTAATTCACAGGTACCTTTAGGAAATTTTTCCTGGCTAACGCAGGGGGAAACTTTTTAAAAATATGCGCATCCATATTTTTTGACATTTGATGAAAAGTTTTTTAATTGTTATTTGTTAATAGAAAGGTAATTGTTAGACTAGAGTACATTGAAATGTTTAAACTGTTCATTTGAATCAAATTCAACATTATTTTCAGTTGAAAGTTTAGTCTTTTTACTCTGAACAAATCTTATCCAAAAGCTAACAGCTAATGGATACAATATGATTGACCCAACTAGAAGCATCACAGCTCCAGGTTGATGAGTGATTGTTAGAGTAAATACTGAAGTATACAAGAAGGTTGCACCTAACCCAACAATAGTTTCAAGTGCCGTTGAAAGAGTGAAAACTTGTGCCGATTCAGCAGAATCGACAGTAGAAACTATGAGACTTCTAATTGCAACGTTTGAGATTCGTCCACATGAGCCAATCACATATCCAGCAATGTAACCTCGAATAGACAAAAATATTCCTCTGATAATGAAAAATACAGACAATGATAGACATCCAAATATAGCGATACTCGCATCAGAAAAGCCTAAAAACTTGAGCAATGATGGACCAATTGAAGTTGCAATGGTTGGTGGTATGTAGCCAAGGGTCAACAGTGATGTATATGCATCTTCAGTCAGTCCATAAACCCGCTGAGCAAACTGGTAGGCAATGCCGTCTTCACTAAAGAGTGCAGCATCACAAACAGCTCCTGAAGTAATTAATAATATCAATCGGAGTCGACCCTGATTTGGCCTTTTCTTCGTAAAAGTTGCAAGACATTCTTTGGCTCTTGATAAACGGAAAACGTCCTTCACAACCTGAAGGAAAGAAGCACCATCTTTCTCAGGATTTGTGTCAATAACAAAATTGGCTTTCATGAAAACTGCATAAATCAGTCCAAACACGTACATCAAAAGACTAGTCAATAAAACTCCAACATAATTCTTACGATGATCACCAAACCATGGCTTCATGGCAAATATAGCACCACTTGAGTAACTTGCACCAAGCATTCCTGTAAATCATATTCAATCAAAAACTAATCATGTAAATTCGCAGACAACCTTCTTACCAACTTTGACTATTAATTCAATGACAGCAAATCTTATAAGCACAAGATGACTCGGTGTTCCCCATGAGATGGACGTATAAATAGCACTGCATAACAAAAATATGCCTCCACACACCGAGTAAGGAATATACGGAAGTAATAAAGCCCACCAAGCTAGTCAATGAAAGATGTAATTCAATTAAATTCACTATCTTTATCATTATTATCATAATGGCCTATTAAAATGAATCAATACTCACGAGCTTTGAAGATGAAAAGATTGACTAGTAATAATAAACAGGGCTTTTCATTTTCTATGCTGTTTGCATACTTTTTATCTATGAAGATAAACCGAAGAAAAGTCCATTGATTTTCAATGGGAAAAATTATCAACAAAATGGGTTAAAAAATGGTTTGCATACTTTTTATCGGCCAAAATTGAGGTTGATAAAATTGAAAAAAGAAAGACAAAAGAAAGACAAAAAGATTATGCATCGGCATAAAATCTATGCTTTTGATTAAAAATATGACTGCATAGAAAATGAAAAGCCCTGATAATAAAACTTTACAAATGGCACCAAAAAAGACTGAAATAATCATGAATTTGAAATACTTGGGATAATTTCCTAGCCAATAACCAAGAAAAATGGACAGCAGTAAACATGGCGTATTGACGATGATGAATTGCCAGTTTTTGAATGAATTGGCGACTCGAAGTATCTCTTGTGTTTCACTCGAATCAGGGTAAGTCTTGGTCAATTTTTTCAACGTTTAAATCTTACAACACTTGATTGGTTAAATTGTGTTTTTTAAACAAGGTTATTTAAAGTCATTCGTAACCTGTTCTTGTAACTTCAAACGACTATATTACGTAACATTATCTTTTCATAGGCTATTCAAGGATTACCTCGAGAATCGTTTTACCTCGCTACTAAGGTTGGAAGGAACCACCAATGTCAATTTGATTATTCGCCAAGAGGAGTGAGAGAAAGTTTTGAAACAAGTTTACGAAATTTGCGAGTGGAAAGTGTTGATTTGGTAACCATTCATGATGTCGAATTTACCGATAATTTGGAATCTATCGTGAAAGATGTCATTCCAGTACTTGGTAACATTTTCAATATCTTTACATTTTTCGTTTACTCAAAAATATGAATATTTTTCCATTTCAGAGCAATATCGCAGAGAAGGAAAACTTCGTTACATTGGTTGTTCAGGTTATCCCCTGGAACCACTAGTGTAAGTTATTTTATTCATTGTTTATCTCATTGCATTATTAATATTTTTGTTTCATTTAATGTTTTGTTTGAATTAGTAATTTAACTGAACTAGCAAAAGGTCGATTGGATACTTGTCTCTCTTATGCTCGAATGACTCTTTTCAACACTGATTTGATGTCTTCTCCATTAATCAACAATGTAGGTTCAATATTTCAAAATTTTTCATAATTTCTAATGTCTAATGAATATTATTTTTCTTAATCAGTCTTCAATTGGATTGATCAATGCATCACCCCTTGGATGTGGCCTTTTGACACCTGATGTCCTTTCAGATCCTCCAGTTCCATATTGGCATCCAGCTTCCCCTGATCTGGTAGCAGCATGTCAAAAGGCTGCTCAGCTTTGTTTGGTTAGAACTGTCAATTTTTATCGTTTTCCCTGATTCATCTAATTGTTGTTTATTTATTTCAGAAAGAGGGAGTCAATCTGGCTAAAATTGCAACAAACTTTTCTTTAACGAAATGTCCTAAGGCTGCTCTTCATTTGATTGGCATGATTTCGTGAGTACCGCGATAAAATTTACTTTAAGTACTTTTTTACTAAAAACAAATCAATTTCCCTCATCATTTAGGCCCGCTCAACTTGAAAACAATCTGTCAGTTCTGAAAGGTGGCTTAACTGATCAAGAATCGAGAATACAAACTGAAATCAGCCAAATGTTCAAAGGTGTAAAAACACACTGGGAAGGAGTTGAAATAACGAAATATCGCCAGGATCCCAAAAAATTTGCTGATAACTTGCTTTACGGGCCCCAAGAATAAGCCAATTTATTCATTATCCAAATGGAAACAATTCAATAATGTAGTAATTCAGTAACTAAACATTTTTAATGTTCAATTTTGTATTCAAGATAACATGTTTCATGCATAGAATGAATCAATAAACTCGAAAGTTATAATTGCAACGTACCGATCGCCTATTAATATAATATATTGATTGACCCATCAATATCAAAATTTCATGGTGATCCCAAAATTTGATTTGATTATTTCTTTGCAATCAACTTCACCACGATTTTAACACTTTATAATATAACTTTGAAACTCAAGCACAAAGAGTTTTTTAGAATGAGATCTATTGGATCATGAGATCGAAAGTTTTCCTTTAAGAGCAAGCGTTCACCTCAGAGATAAATTAGATTGTGCCTAGACTCTCATCTTTACTTTTCAAGATTATCTTTATTCACAAGGCTTTCTTACTTTTTCTCTTTCTTTCAATTCTTGAACTGGCTTTTAAAATCGGGTTCAAATACAGTCGACCCAAGCCACATTATAATTTTTAAAATCTCACCAACCACAATCTTCTTCGGATTGAAATGAATTGTTTTTGAGAAAATTTTTTTTCACCGAGTCGGGTTCAAGCCCCTATCCTTATATCCCTTTTCCATGCTTTTATATTTGTTTACCTAAATTTCAGCGCTGTCAGTCCTCAATTTTAATTATCTAAACTTCAATTCCTTTTATAACGGGCGCTTATTTTATCCTTGACGGTCGTTTGGACTCATAAATTTTGAACCAGAAGTCGTATCTAGATGATATACGGTCAGTATAATTTCAAAAATCGAACCGTATTGCATACTTTTTCATGCATGGAAATTATTGTCGCACGCAATATTTATCATCGAACAACATCAGCTTTGAATACCTTCTCTTCAACCGACGTTTAGTTATCTATTAATGTAAAGGCATTAGTATCATGTACTAAATCATTAAAGGTAAAATTAAATAGAAGGAAAAATGAAAAATAATGAGTTGAAGTGAATTAGAATAATTTATTTTATTCAATACAGTTTCATAGATTTTACATTTTCAGGATGTTTCATATTCTTATTGACGATTGAATTGTTGGTTTTCGTAAAATTTTCAACCATCATTCACATTAAATTCATTTTCATCCCATTGTGTTGGTTGCTCCGGGTGGTGGTGGTGCTTGTCGTGCAGAACGCATTGGTTTATCGATAGCTGAAACAGACCCAAGAATGGCAATAAGAGCCATTAGAAAGACAGAAGAAACATATTTAGTCAATTGCATTGTTATTTTGTTGATTGAATTTAACTTGGTTTAACACAAAATTGAAATATCACTAATCACTATTACTTTGTATGCTTGAAGATTAAACTGATATCATTTGAAGAGAAATGGTCGCCTTTTATACTGATCTGTCTTGTTTATTATTTAATATTTTTTGTTTATTCATTTGTTTTTATTTTGCATAATTGATTAGTTTTTTGATAAAATAATGTCTCTTCGTAGTATTTTACAAAAAAAGTGTGTTTATTCTGATGAATAATAAGCTAGTAAAGTCAATATATTTGTCAAATTGAACCTCGATTTGGCTATACATATCGTAGGATACAAGTATCGTTACATGTTGATTTAGTCTAGTCAAACAATGACTTTATTTGAATTCAAAGTTATCTACCCCAAAAATTTAACTAAACATTATGCTTTATTTTTCATGAGGTGATCTAATTCTTGAATCTAATTAAGCATGAATAATGATCGTTATCTTTGGTAGACCATTTACAATGTCAACTAGCGTCCTGTTAATAAGTTACATTTTTTGTTTTAAAGTAAAACAAATGAGGGCATAACAATAATTGAATACAGTAAAAATGATAAAAATGAGACAAAAATTAAACGGCTTTAGCATATAAACTATTGAGTTATTAATATTCAAGCTTATTGTCTCAAACTCTCTGAATAGACTATTTGAAGCATTCAAATCAGTTTAGAAATGAAAAAAGGTCAATTTTGTATGGTCTTAATCATCGTTAAGATATATCAAAAGGAAATGCATGAAGTTTATACCAGAGTATACCAAAAAACCCTGAAATTTTAAAGACGCATCGTGGCATACAAGTATTAAATGTATTGGTTTATATTAGTTTTGTCTAGTCAAATAGGCTGTTTCTTGTCTGTTGATAGCACATAATGTTTGCGCTTGATTAACTGGTTTGAGGTAGATAACTCTGAATTCAAATAAAGTCATTGTTTGACTAGACTAAATCAACATGTAACGATACTTGTATCCTACGATATGTATAGCCAAATCGAGGTTCAATTTGACAAATATATTATAATGAGTATACTTAAGCGTGACTCTACGAGGACTCTTTCACTCTCTCCTCATTGGTTAGTGACCTTAACACTGTATTACCCTTTATAAGGCCTTGTTAAGAGGTTTAGGATGATCCTTTGGCTTGTAAAAACCTTCCCTTAAGTTTAAGTAATAAAGCTTTTCCTTTAAACCGCTTAAAAGTTCACCACATTTTGGCGACCTCGGCAGGATTTATCTGTCTCAACTACAGTATTAACCTGTTTCTTCTATGAAGTTGTGTTTATCAACGTTATATTTTTTTTGGATTTGTGTATTTGATGAAAAGTGTTCATCTTAGTTTAAGCGACTTAAATTTAAGAGTCAAAGTTGTGCTGTTAAAACAACATTCTTGTCGTTAACCAAACTAAGTTGTGATATATTTTTTTGAGAACTTTTTGTGATTAACGCTTTTTTTCGGACTTATTCTTATTTGGTACACCAACAAAGGATCCTTTTTACTATCTATCCACCTCACCTCTAATCCGTTCTTCAATCAACCATTAAATAAATTCATCATCATCGCTTAATTTTTTGGTTAACGTTTGGTTCTAAGCTTTTACTATTGGAATAAACATCTTGTAACCTTGACGTATTCCCATCAGCCTGAGATCCATTTGTAGTTAGTCCATTTGCTTAAAGTAAGACCGTTTTGAATTTGTTATCATTTCCTTGAATTGATCAAACTTGAGTTCAATATTAAAATGGCAGATATTAACAACCCAGTTGATAATGATGACCTATTAGATGCTCAACAATTGCGCCTATTGGGCATGCAAATTTCGAGTAATTTAGCGAACACAAATTTTCTTTCAATCCCGGTTTTCCGTGGTGAAGACAATGGTGATTGCAATGTTTGGTTGAAGAGATTTGAATCTGTTGCAGAGCATTACCAGTGGGATGCCGAGCAAATGAAAAGTAGATTTAAGAATTATTTAGCTGGTCCAGCAGCTAATTGGTACAGTTTACGTTTTGACTCAGAAGATAAGGACTTTGCAACTATTAAAGAAAAATTTATCCAGGATTTTTCTTCTGAGGATAGTTTAGAAAAGATGAGAAAAAGAAAATTGATGCGGTATGAAAAAATCCAATCTTACGTTTACGAGAAAGTTAGCTTTTGTAAGGATGTGAATGCTAACATGACAATGAATGAGATTCTAAATTACATTTACGAAGGGATGCCGAAGAAGTTGAGAGACGCAATTTGTGTAGCAGGTCCAAAAGACTATTATGAATTAATTAATATTGGGAAGCGTCTAGAAAGTGTTTCAAAGGTTAATGATGCTGAAAATGAAAGAGAAGAAAGAAACGAAGAAAATGGTCAAATGAAGAAAATGTTTGAAGACCTAATAGCAGAAATGAAAGAATTGAAAATGACAAACAATCGTCCTAGAAATCAGCCCGATAATTATCGAAATAATTATCGAAGTAATCAAAATCAAGTTAGATTTCCAAGAAGACCTGACGGGAGAGTAGTTTGTTATACTTGTGGGAAACCCGGGCATGTGACTCGTTTCTGTTATTTGAATGGAGGGCAAACCTTTAATCGTAATTATCAAATGCCACCTCCAAGAAATCATCATCAACCAATGGAGAATAGAAGAATTCCAATTATGCCTGCTAATAATCAGTCACAACAAAATTCTAATAACTCTCCTATTGTATTTGCAAGTGAAGAAAGAAGAATAATGGCGAAAATTCTAATAACAACAAAAGAATTTGATGCTATAATTGATACCGGAGCACCTAGCTCGTTTATTACTCTTGAATGTGCCTTAAGTATAAGGTGTGAGATAAAACCTTGGACTGGAGGTACCATCAGTGGTATAAACGGAGCTATGACAGTTCCAGTTGGAGCTATTGATATCCCAGCCGTTATCAAGCAAGATGAACGAGAGAAACAAATCACATTTTCAGCTACTGTTTTAGAATATTCTCCTTATGATATAATCATTGGTATGTCTACAATGAAAGCAGCGAAAGCACTCATTGACCCAGTTGAAAATAAAGTCTTTTTCAGGGAAGAAGAGAATCAGCCTGCGTTACCCGTACAACAGGATACTATCACAAACGAAATTGTTGAGCCAAGATCGTTTGGTATTGTATCAAATAGTGCAGGTGTTATTGTTCCACCTAAATCATCAGTTTGTTTGAGAGTTCAAAATGAAGCAATGAAAAATTTTGATGGAAAGGCAATAATTCAGCCAGGCAGTAAATTCAACAGTCTATCTCGCTTAAGATTTTCCTCCAACGAATTAAAATTTGAAAAGGGTTGGGCAGAAATTACTTTGTGTAACAACGAAGAGTTCAGTTTCTATGTCAAAACAAGAGAACATTTGGCTAAAATAAAGAAGTTGATTCCAAGTGAGAGTGCTTTGATAACTATTGAAAATTCAAATGAAGTGACTCGACCCAAAGAAATGATGGATCAAAGATCCAGCATTTTAACTAACAATAATGATGGATCAGGATCCACCATTTATCACAACAATAATGATGGATCAGGATCCACCATTTATCAAAACAATAATGATGGATCAGGATCCACCATTTTTCAAAACAATAATGGTGGATCGAGATCCACTATTATTGCGAACCAAATAACATCAAAAACAGAATTAATCGAGAATGAAATAGAGGAAGATGCTAATAACGCTGTTAAATCAGAAACCAGAAATTTGTGTTTAAGTGAAGGAAATGTTTCAATAGGGGCATCTTTGAATCACCAACAACAAGCAGCTCTAAGCCAATTGTTAGAAGTGCATGTAGATCGATTTGCTTTCAAATCAGAAAGACTTGGGAAAACTAATC